TCCCCTTAATGTGGACTCTTTATGCTTTCTAGCTGAAAATTATTTTTAATTCCCATTCTGATTATTCTTTAAAAAAACCCTCAGTAGTCTTGTTTTCATTTATTACAAGAAAGGGTAATAAATAACGAAGGAAGGGTTCTATTTATCCTTCTGCCTATTCCAATGAAGCATATGAAGTGGAATAGAGCAGGTAGTGTCTGAATTAACAAATAAATTAAATTTAAGCTATAATCAGATGAACAGGATTCATGGCTGAATAGTCCTGGAGGATGCTGTGTAACTAGTGTTCCTTAGGCGGTCATTCTAGTAATCATCAGAAATTTTTCTGCTCCCGGCAGCTGTGGATAGTTATTTAGGGCTAAGGATTAACTTTAATTAGAGTGGATGCCAGGTTCTAAAAGGCCAGGATCCAAGTATGTATTTATAACTTTTGTATTTGGTGGTGTCATGAGAACTACAGAGCCAGGGTGGAGAGATGAAATCAGCAGCTGTGTTCCTGTAGGGTGACTGGGTACTATAGGGCATGCGACTGGAGGAGAAGCAAGGTGGGGAGTGGTGGGCTTGGAGGTTGTGCACGTTGGTTCATTCCAGCTCAGGAATTATCTTGCAGCTGAAAAATGTGTGAAGGGCTTCTGAAGCTTACCCAAGCTGTTCGATATTTCAGTATACCATAAAGTACAAAGCAGTGTGATTCTTGAATCTTTAAACGTTTTACAAATATGTATTTATTCATCCTGGGAAAAAAAAAAAAGGTGGTGGTAGTTAATTATTAGCTGTGTCTTCTAAATGTTAGAGGAACTTGTGGGCCACCCAAAGCACTGATATTAAGGAAGATCTGGATTTCAGGAGTTCTTGTCAAAAACCACACCCTTCTTCATAACTGATAAAGTTGGCAACCTCAGTATTAGGAGCAACCTTGGAAAAACAGCTGACTTATGAGTTGCCTAAATGTTAACATTCTTATCTCTGGATAGCTGCTGGCTCAAGGCAGCCATGAAAGGTTCAAATATAATTACGGCTTTTCATAATTCTGAAGAGCATTTTGCTCATAATGACCATGTCTGTTAAATACTATATTCTTTTTGGATACAGTAAGCTATAACTTTACATACAGAAAGCAGGTTAAGAAATTTGCAAGGGGTATTGGCTCTAAGCACAATAGCTTCTGTCAGAGATTTTTCACTTGATTTAAAATGCAAATCTTGGATTGGATTTTATAAGGTAAAGATAGCTAAGCAAAATAAACTTAGACCATTCCAACCAGTTTGCTCTGTCTGCACTTCCTGGAAGATCTTATTACTTAGGTAATTATAACAAAGAAGGTTGCAATATCTTTATCTGTGGGCTGGGCTCTAAATTAGTATGAGCATGTGGCTTAGAAAGGATGATTATAATTTTGACATATCTACTTAACAGTAAAACTGTGGCTATTAATAGTGAACAATTTCTACTGATCAGGTAAAAAAGTAAATTCTTTTCTTCTTGGGGACCTGAAAAGGTAAGTAGATTGGTTCTTGTATTTTGCTGATACATTAATCTAATAAATCCTGAAGGTTAGAATGTGCTGATATTAAAGCTTGTACTGGAGCATTAAATCTTGTTAGTGGTAGGTTTTTTTAATGTGGTAAACATTAAACTTTGGTAAAAAGCTGAAAAAACTTATTTTTCAAAATATATGTATTTTTTTAATAGAGGTAGATAAGTCATGGTGTTCTGCATCTGTTAATGTCATTCAGGAATGAAAACTGTTAAAATAATTACAATTAAAATACCAGCAAATAGATCCTGTTTGAGGCACTTGGCATGCCATGGGATTGATACATGTGTCTTCTTATTTAATAATAATAAAAAAAGAATCCACAATTGTAGATATTTCTATAGAACTAGATCAGAAATAATAACTAAAAGCATATGAGAGCTGCAAGCTATTTTCATAATACTACTCGGAACAGTACACTCTGAGAAGGGAGTGTCTGGGAAAGTAAGATTTGCCTGAAGCACAAGCAACAGGTCTGTCTAGAAAAAGATGTCAAACAAGTAATATTACATTATCGCTCTGGAGCAAAGAACATAGCATTTATTAATAAATCTTTGTTTGATAAGCAGGTTTTACTCTAGCTTAATGCAGTCAAGCAACAAATACACTGTGATACAGGTGAGAAAATGGGCAGTGTGTGGAGGCTGACAGGAGATAAAAGATGCAGTTCTGGTGGTAATTTTTTGGCAAAACTTTGTTTTGTGCCTAGTACTTGATTGAAGGGGGTTTTATTAGTAAAATTTCAATTTTGCAGTGTAATCTGTCATCATTTTCTGCACCTTTTTCACTACTGATGATGAAATACTGTATTTGATGTTTAGAAGAGATGGTAGTTCTGGATTCCTTGTTGACAAGTGTGTGATGCTTTAGCTGCCTTAAGCATACAGAGTGGTAGCTTACTGCACAAGTAAGAGCCTGCTGTGTAATGCAGCCATAGAAACTGTGCAATTTTTAGTATTTTCCACTTTTTTTCTCCCTTCTAATTTCAAGGCAGTCTGCTGTCCTGATTTACCAATACAAGTGGTGGCCATAGATTTCTGGGGGAGTGGCTGGTGGCCGTGTTTGCCACAGGAGCAAACCAGCCTATGTGCACCTCTGGCAGCTGCTTACTGTAGGTGGGTTTCTTTTCACTGAGGTGGTTATGACCAGTGTTGTGATTTCTTAGAACTAGGGAAAATATTACAAAGAAGGAAGTTTGTTGCAGTTGAGAATCAGGTATCCCTCAAATATTTAGTGAAACTACTAAGCTACTGGCAGGCAAATGTGACAACAGAAGATGGAAATCTACCAAATCCAACAAATTGAAGCAACAGAATTGGAGGGAGTGTCTGTGAACTTCACATGTGTAAGCATTCTGAAATTTTAATTTTATATCAATTTGACTTAATGACTTTCCAGATTATTCTGAGCATTATTTGTGTAATACCATTAAATAAAATATTTGGATCAGATGCATTTTGGTAAAATTCAGTACATTTAGCATTGTCCATGTTAAATTATTATTTTGACAAAAATAGACTAAAACCAACCATTCATTTAAATTATCTCTGCCTTGGGTGATGCTAAAGATTTTTCTTCTGCTTTCTAATAAGGCATTCTTGTAACGCTCTTCAGATCAATTTGATCTGAAGTTAAATAGTGGCTTACCCACTACCACAAGTATAAATGGCAGACCTCAGATTAGAACATAGTAGTTTCTGACTATTATTCCTACGGCTGTCCCTCTGGGTAGTGGTGTTACATACATTGACTAGAATGGACATAGGACGCACACCTTGCACAGAGCTCACTCACTGCTGGTGAAATATACACAATGGAGAAAAGCCTGCATCTCAGAGTTCTTAGTTTGTAAAAGAAGCAAATAATTTTTACTTGTTAGTAGAACTTTTCAGTTGCACTGGGCTTATTACTAAGATTGAACATTTCTTACAGTACAGTAATTTGGAGTCAGCCTTGAGTATACTTTTAGGGATTTTATTTTTTTTTCTCATGGTCCCCCTGAAACAATGTGTAAACTTTTATTTTAAAGCTGACTTTATGCTCTGACTGCTGATTCTATGTTCTAGTGTTTAGGCAGGCTCCAACTGAGAGAATGTGTATGTGGTTTAGCTACCAATCATGCTGTTGGTCCTTGTGGCCAGTGTCTGAATTGTCATTGGATGAACACAAAAATATTTTCATCTATGTGAATTGCCATTACAGATTATTGTAATATTTGTTTAAATTCAAAGTAATTGAATTCTTATCATAGGCAATCACATGATAAATACAGATTAGTGCCATTTCAGTGGCATTGGAATAATTGGCCCCATAAACATATGACCATGGCCTATATGCTTACCTACAACCTGTGTTATTTGAAGGCTATCTTTAGCCATTGTCAGATAGGGGTCTTTGTGGTGCTTAGAAAGCTGTCAAAATCTAACCCTTTTGAATCACAGTTTTTAAATTTTCCGTATCAGAAGATTGAATGTCAAAAGACTGAATTGCAGCCTTCATGGAAGAGAAATCCTAATTCTGTGACCCTTTAAAGGCTTTGTCAGTGTTCCATGTGTTAGAGCACTGCAGAAATCATGCATAAATACAATCCCTGTTCATCTCTGTGTGGGCACTCGTTTCATACTTCAGTGATGAAGTGATGTGCAAAAGGGCCTTATTTAAGGGAGGATTTTCTCACTGGCAGTGAAATAGATAGCCTAAATTATTTTCCCCTTTGAAATGTCATCTGTTGACAACAGTGACTGTTACTTGACTAAGAGTCCAGCAACACCAACTAACAAGTAGCAGCTAATTTTGGAAGATTTTCTTTGCAATCCCTAATGTCAGATGGAAACATGAGTGTCTTTAATCCTTCTTTAAAGGGGCAACAGTAACTTCAGAAACTTCATACTTGGGGCATTTTCGTTATTGGAACGAAGAACTGTATTTTCAGTGTCATGAAAGAAGTGATACGAAGATTGAATGAGGTTATAGAAAGGAGAAGTAAAAATAATTTCTGTGTTGTCTTTACTCTTCAGACAGCTATCAAAAAGCAGAGCTGCTACAGAGTTCTGCTTATAGGTTAAGCATGTTTTCCACCATGTGGTCATTCCTGCGTTGAAGCCTAGTCAGTCCTTTTCTCACACAGTTCAAAAGGTTGAAATGTACACAACTTAGAATCTAGGAAATCATTGTTAAGGATGAGACATAGAGGAATCTGTAGCTTCCAGTATTTGAGATTGGTTTTATATCCATCTGCATTTCCTTGTTACAGTAAAATCACTTAAAAAGAAAAAAAAATCCAGAATGAATGAAATCCTTATAAATCCCAGTTCATGGGAACAAGTTTTTTACTTTCCGTATTACTGTATTTTTGGCTGTGTTTTTGCTAAAGTGGACTTTTGCTTGTGTGGCTTACTTTATAATGTAACAGTGACAGGTCTGGTTTAGTGTCATACCCATGGTTTCATCTGTCTTTTCAGACCTTTACTCTTTCTACTGAAGAAATCACAGATGATGGCTTCTGACGCTAGTCATATGCTGGAAGCAGCTTTGGAGCAGATGGATGACATCATTGCAGGTATAATAATGCTTTATTTTACACCAAACTGTCCAGAGATATAGCTATGTTTGTACTTTTCCCTCCTGCAATTTTCCTGTTTACTTTTTAATTATCATTCTCAATTTGCCAAGTTCTCTGGAACACGCAGATTTCTCTGGTTGAACAGTTGAATGAAGAAAACATGCAATTCCACCTCAGACATGTGACTATTGACTTTGCTCTAATGCTCTAACTTAAATACCTTCTGATTCACATTCCATATTGCATGAGTTAGTTATTTCAGCGTGCTTTGAAAATAGTTTTCAGTTAGCTAGATAGTATATATCTATATTTTACACAAACACATAGATATACAAAAATATGTATATATACACAAATGTGTATATATAATCATATAATTTTATTATGTATGTATTAAAAATAGCTTAGCAATTAATTACTGTCAAAAATATGTATATATATAAAATATACAAAAAATGTGTATATATAATCATATAACTTTGCTTATTATGTATGTATTTAAAATAGCTTAGCAATTAATTACTGTCACAGTCTAATGAGTTAGAGTGTGTATCTTCATGTTAAAATTTATATTCTGGAATGATGCTATGAATTTCTTTTCTACACAGCTGTCCATGAGACAGGCATATTATGCAAGACAGAATTTGTTGTCTTTTGATGCTGTCATAGTAAGGCAATTAAAAATTTTTCTCTCAACATTACAGCCTCCAAGAAGAGAAGTTGATTTCTCTGGTTAGGACTCGTACCTTTGGGGTTTGTGCTCACACACTATACAGTATGAGCTTCTAAAAGAAGTATCTGGGTAGGGCAATGATCTCACTTGTGCACAATGGGAAAGCATTCACTACAGCTTTATAAATTTAAATAGTGACACCCATTCTGTGCCTTCAGATTTTTTTTACGTAATGATGAAGATGATGACATCAGCCAAAGTTTTTGCTGCAGTTCTGTTTATTTCTGCTCTTTTAGTAAAGCTTTCTATCCGGAGATTAATACAGAGCTTCAAATATAACTATTAGACTAACCATGCTTAGGCAGGAAGTCTTATTCAGGATTTTTAGTTTAAAGGATCTCTAGATATTTTGTTTCTCATTCACATATGGGTCTTCACTTTATTCCAAAAGTGTAAGCTTTAAGAGTCTGCTAAGATACACAAAAGTGTAAATGTGAATATATGATGGGTATAACTCCACAAATAAGTTTTCACACCAACGGAACAAGTTCTAGGCTATTAGGAACATTTAGATGTATATTTCCTTCTCCCTTCTTTTTTTGAATGCAAAACCTTATTCAAACAAGATTTTAACCTCTTGCAAAACACGCAAACAGATAGTCATTGGAATATCTCTCAGATATGTAAAGAGAGAACAAGAACAGAGAGTCTCAAACCATAATTCGTAAACTAGGGATCCAAAATAATTTCTTAGCCATTGCAAACCTTGGGTTATGATTGTGTTGAGTGCTATAAAAGAACCAGAGGAACATAGAAGCCCCTGTCCCTTTAATTATGCTGTGGAACATGTGCTCATAAACCACCTGCATACACCCAGAAATTTTAACTCGGTCTCTCTTGTCCCACACGACATCCCTGTCTCTAAATTGGAGAGACATCAGTTTGATGGATGGACCACTTGGTGGATAAAGAACTGGCTGGATGGCCACACACAGAGAGTTGTGGTCAATGGCTCAATGTCCAGCTGGAGACCAGTAATGAGTGGTGTCCCTCAGGGATCAGTGTTGGGACCAGTCTTGTTTACCATCTTCGTCGCTGACATGGACAGTGGGATTGAGTGCGCCCTCAGCAAGTTTGTCAATGACACCAAGCTGTGTGATTCGGTTGATACCCTGGAGGGAAGGAATGCCATCCAGAGGGACCTTGACACACTTGTGAAGTGGGCTGATGCCAACCTCATGAGGTTTAACCATGCCAAGTGCAAGGTCCTACACCTGGGTCAGAGCAATCCCAGGCACAGCTCCAGGTTGGGCAGAGAAGAGATTCAGAGCAGCCCTGTGGAGAAGGACTTGGGGGTGTTGGTTGATGAGAAAATGAACATGAGCTGGCTTCAGTGTGCGCTCGCAGCCCAGAAAGCCAACCGTATCCTGGGCTGCATCAAAAGGAGCGTGACCAGCAGGTCGAAGGAGGTGATCCTGCCCCTTTACTCTGCTCTTGTGAGACCTCAATTGGAGTATTGTGTGCAGTTCTGGTGTCCTCAACATAAAAAGGACATGGAACTGTTGGAACAAGTGCAGAGGAGGGCCACGAGGATGATCAGGGGACTGGAGCACCTCCTGTGTGAAGACAGGCTGAGAAAATTGGGGCTGTTCAGCCTGGAGAAGGGAAGGCTGTGTGGAGACCTCATAGCAGCCTTCCAGTATCTGAAGGGGGCCTATAGGGATGCTGGAGAGGGACTCTTCATTAGGGACTGTAGTGATAGGACATGGGGTAATGGGTTCAAACTTGAACAGAGGAAGTTTAGATTGGATATAAGGAAGAAATTCTTTCCTGTTAGGGTGGTGAGGCACTGGAATGGGTTGCCCAGGGAGGTTGTGAATGCTCCATCCCTGGCAGAGTTCAAGACCAGGTTGGACGAGGCCTTGGGTGATATGGTTTAGTGTGAGGTGTCCCTGCCCATGGCAGGGGGGTTGGAACTTGATGATCCTAAGGTCCTTTCCAGCCCTAACTATTCTATGGTTCTGTGTATAGCCCAGCACACATTGGTGATACCATGATGCACTGATGATTCAATTCTTCAGCAAAATCAAGAGAGGGAAAAAGTAGACATGTTCTATTTAAATTGATTTTTCGGTTAGGCATTTATTTTCTTCCAGGAGTCGTCAGAGCTTTGTGGTATGCTTTCATTTGAAGGAAAGGTTTAGAAAACTTGGAATGATTTTGAGGGGCTGGGGTGATTCCATGGGATTTTGAGGGGCTGATGAAATTCCATGGGATTTCGTCTGCTTCAGTCTTTTCTGTTATTCATGCTTCCAACATAAGTCAAATTGTCCAGTGTCTCCTCTAATGAACATAAAACACCACGTATTCACCGAATAGGTCTGTTGCCTTGTTTCTCTGAGCAGTGCTATGTTTTGTTTAGGAGAAAAAAAAAAACATGAAAGTTTTACTTGATAGTGCCATTTCATATTCCCTTCAATAAAGTTTTGTAGACTTACAGGCTCAGGTTTTCCACTGAGAGGATAACATTGCTACTTAGCAGTATTTCCATGAATGTAAGCTCTGAAATATGTTTGTTGTGAGGCTCATTCTGGGTAAGACAATAGGTGTTTAGTGTTGAGTACTTTTTCCGTGGTATGGAAAGATAGCCTTGTGATATTTGGCATAACTGATTAAATGTCAGTATATGACTGTCTAAAAAAAGTCATATATTTCTTCTAGTTTCATGCCAGAAGAATAGCTCGGGTCAGAAGCCGGGTTTGATGTTGTGTTTTTAATATTGTTTTCCTTTTCCCCACATCTTTTTCAGATTGTTTGTGCCCAACATCTTAGGGTTAATCTTGATAAATAAAGAATAGAATTAAGTTGTCTCAGGCTTCCAAAGAGCATTGCTTTTACACCCCACCCCCCCACCCCCCCCCCGCCTTTATTGCCCATGATGGTGGAAACAGTGATACAGAGAAGTGAAGCAAATAATGGAAGAAATGTTCTGTGTGAATTGGCAGATTACGCTTCCCATTCACAGCTGTTTCGTAGTGGCATTGGTGTCCATGCTCTAAAACAAAAAGATTCAAGCATGCTAGATGTATGTAGAGTTTGTTTCCACAGTGCATGGATAAGTCATGAGCAAACTGGTAACCTCTTCTAGAGAGCTGACTTTATGACTTCACATTACTTATATTTTTTAGTCGAATGTCCACTGATATTCAGTATGATATGGAAAACAGGCTTATATAAAGATATCTAATGGGAGAAGAACCAAGGTATTTTCCAGACAATGCATCTGTCAAGTCACATCAATGTTAACTGAACACTTCTGTATGATTTTGGAATTATATCTACCTGTACCAATAAAAAATCAAATTGTTTTATTCTTTTACTTATTTTTAGTTATAAAGCAAAAGTTCAATTGGTTGGGAAGGTTGTTTACCTTATTTATTATTTTCCAGTACTAGAAATAGATAAGACGTTTTAATGCAGGTTGAGTTCGGTTGATACGCTGAAGGCAAGGGATGCCATCCAGAGGGACCTTGACACACTTGAGAGGTGGGCCAATGCCAGCCTCATGAAGTTCAACAAAACAAAGTGCAAGGTCCTACACTTAGGTCAGAAATCTCAGGCACAGCTACAGGTTGGGTGGAGAAGTGATTAGAGCAACCCTGAGGAGAAGGGCTTGGGGGTGTTGGTCAATGAGAAACTGAACATGAGCTGACTTCAGTGTGCTCTTGCAGCCCAGAAAGCCAACTCTATCCTGGGCTGCATCAAAAGGAGCGTGACCAGCAGGTCAAAGGAGGTGATCCTGCCCTTCTGCTCTCGTAAGACCCCGCTTGGCGTATTGTGTGCAGTTCTGGTGTCCTCAGCATAAGGAGGACATGAGCAAGTCCAGAGGAAGGCCATGAGGATGATAAGTGGGCTGGAGCAGCTCCCAGGCTCCAGCCATATGGAGACAGGCTGAGAGAGTTGGGGCTGTTCAGCCTGGAGAAGGCTGCGTGAAGACCTCATAGCAGCCTTTCCATATCTTAAAGGGGCCAACAAGGATGCTGGAGAGGGACTCTTCATCAGGGACTGTAGAGATAGAACAAGCGGTAGCGGGTTTAAACTTAAGCAGGGGAAGTTTGGGTTAGATATAACAAGTTATGTACTGTGGGGTGATGATGCACTGGAACAGGTTTCCCAAGGAAGTGGTAAATGCTCCATCCCTGGCAGTGTTTGAGATCAGGTTGGAAAGAATCTTGGACAACATGGTCTAGTGTGAGGTGTCCCTGTCCTTGGTAGGGTGGGGTTGGAACTAGATGATCTTAAGGTCCTTTCCAACCCTAACTAT